CAATAAAAATCTTTCAAATGTGACTGTAGCTTTTTCCCCCAAAAACTTTGTCTTCAAAATAAGGGTGCTTCTTATATTCCGAAAAATACAGTAGCTAAAGTCGTTTGTAACAATATTTTCCAATGTCGTTAACTTCGCTATAAAAATTCAGTAAAATTGAATAAAAAATACCTTAGTCTCTGTTGGTGAACTTTGTTGTTGGAATCTTAGTTTAAATATTCCTTATTGTACATTTGAATAGTTTACATTGTTTGTTTGTAGTTAAGCACAAAGCTACACAATGAGCTATCTGTTCTCTGCCCATCACTCATATCGAAACCCGGATTCTAGCGTTGGAAATCCGCAAACATTCCGCTGTGCCACTGGGGGGCGGGGGCAGTTTACAATGAGAATTCATTTTTTAATTTATGATTAGTGATCAAAACAAATTAAGAAATAGGAACCAGTTGCATATAGATATACACCGTTACTTTAATAGTCTACAGTAGAAAGATATCTTTAAGATATACACTGTTACTTTGATAGTCTACAGTAGAAAGATATCTTTAACGTTATTAATTTGAAACTTTCTTCATATATCTTTATGAATGTTCTTATAATCGGTGATAACGATTTTTAAACACTTTTTTTTTCAAATCTTTCTGTGTATACTTACAATGTACATATTATTTTTAAATATGTTTGTTATATTTTACCTGTATAACGGTAATTTTTGCTTTAATAAATATGAACTTTAAAAATTTTCACATTTAGTGCTTCAAATAATGTTTCTTTATATAAAACGCACCATAAGAATTTTGAACTGCGCAGTTGACGACTCTTTATTATTAAGAACAAAGCCTACACAATGGGCTATCTTTGCTGTGCTCACAGTAAGTATCGAACCTAGTTTTTAGCGTTATAAACCCTCAGACTTACAAATGAGCTACCTTGATTTAATTGACATTATATTGTTTACAGTGCCCCAGTCGGGTCCGACCTTATGTCTTGATTTTTTATGTATACCCTGGTAAATAATCGATCCATAGTACATTCTACGGTAGATAGACTGACAATTTACATTGCACCCAAAGAAAAAGTACGCAGTAAGCAATAAATTAAGTAGTTATTTTATTAGATTTTTTACACCATGAATAATATTATGAATTAGCTGGAGTACCCGTCCCCTAAACGGAATTCATGTAAATTCATGATTAATGAAAAGGTTATCTTAGGACATGAAAAGTTGCTTCCCTTATATCTAATTGTAAAATAAAAAAACCCTGCAAAACACAAAATGTGAAACTGGAAATTTGTATGTACCTCCCCATAGACCCAATGAACCTTCGTATCAAAATTGGTGAAGATCCGTCTTTAGGATGCGAAGTAGTGGTAAAAATGCACATAAAAACGGCAGAACTGAAAATTTGCATGTACCTATTTTGGTGAAGATCCATCCACACTCAGGGTAGTAGTTACATGGACATACAATAGACAGTACTATTATACTTATATTTATTTATTATGTTCAGTAGCATCTACCACATACACAGTTTTAACCGAACAGTGGGACTGACTGTCACATTTATTATGTTCAGCAGCATCTACCACATACACAGCTTTAACCGAACAGTGGGATTGACTGTCACATTTATTATGTTCAGCAGCATCTACCACATACACAGTTTTAACCGAACAGTGGGATTGACTGTCACATTTATTATGTTCAGCAGCATCTACCACATACACAGTTTAACCGAACAGTGGGATTGACTGTCACATTTATTATGTTTAGCAGCATCTACCACATACACAGTTTTAACCGAACAGTGGGATTGACTGTCACATTTATGTTTAGCAGCATCTACCACATACACAGCTTTAACCGAATAGTAGGATTGACTGTCACATTTATGTTTAGCAGCATCTACCACATACACAGCTTTAACCGAATAGTA